TGCCGTGTGTGCCTTCATGCCCTGAGGTCAGAATGTATAGAAAAAACATTCCTGGGTTTCTCTCTATCTCTCCTCCCCCCCCCACGCTCTCCCTTTGGCTAAAGTGTTAATGTTTAAAATGTGGTGTTTGGTCCTATTTGTTTTTGTTGCTCATTAACTAAAACAAATACTGGACCAGTATGTGTGCACGTTTTGGTATTCCTACAAACACCCCAAAAGCTCTGCTTCCCCCTCTCCCCATCCATTAAATCACAAGGTCAAACGTTTGGAATTGGTGTATTCTGCAAGAGAGCTAACGTCCACCTCCTTGGGAAGTTTAGTGTATCACTTGTGTCACTCAGATAACCATGTAGGTATCAAGCAGACTTTTTCAGCTAGCAAATCTACAAAGAGTTGCTGGTACTGAAGGTGTGTTTAAAACAAAAAAAGCTTCAGTCACACACAGCGGTGCTGAAACAGCCTGGTTCAGTAACTGAGCAAGTGCTGCATAAACACTCTGATTCCACGACCTTGGTGGGCAGAGAGAGAATCACCGATGCTCTTGATCTCCAAAGGTGCCAGATGCCCTTGAAGGAGCTGCAGAGCATGCCACAGATTTGCCTTTCCTCCAGAGAGCAGCCACTCTCCCGCTACAGCTGGCTATAAAACTAATGGTGTTGGCAGCTGCTCTCCAGAGAGAAGGATTACAGCAAGGGGGGAGAGGATTTTTGAAGGATGGGCTCTGTTGCATATTGCAGGCTCTGAATTAATGTCCGACTTTCTATTTTTATTACTTTGTCATATGGCCTTCTTAAAATCGAGAAGATGCGGGGGAGGGGGAAGCGGGAAGCTCTTCATATATATATATATTTGGAAACTTTGGGTCTCACTCTCCTGACTGGCAGAGCATGAAGAAACATGCCATTCTCATGAGGATGTTCAAGGGAGTCTGCTGCAAGTTGCTTGCCCCTCTTCACTGCCTGTTCTCTTCATCATTCTGTTTAATAGAATCTTGCACCCCAAAGTTGACTGTCTGCAAAAGGTGCTAGTACAGTGACTCTCTAGTATTTCCAGAGGCATCAGTGACACCTGTAATTTTGGCCTCTCCTAAATTACTTCAAAAATGGCAGTAGAAAGTAGACTGTATTCAATGCCAGGTTAACAAGGTACAACGAGATCTGTTTTCTCACCTGAAGAGTAGCCTGCAGACACCATGTTCATGGTTTGTAAATTAATGGCAAAATAGTTTTTCATCACCAGATGTATTCAAGCAAAATTTCTACCATTTTGTTTAGAAGTAAGCCTTTTACAGACTTGCAGCTCAGCTTTATTGCTAAAACCGAACGATTTTGCAGTCAGTCAACCTTTGCCATTTCTAACTTTTTAAGAAGATTCTAATCACTCATTGAGAGTAGCTGTTTCACAGTACGTGAGCTTTAAGCAGATGTTTATATTGTCCACAGTGAAGTCTTTTTTTACCGAAGCATTTAAAATGGGTGTATATTGGTAACAAATTGTGTCTATTTGGAAACCATAAAACACAAAATGTTCCTCCTGAAAATAAATGAGATTGCAGGGGAAAAGTTCCAAAATGTAATGCAAAGTGACCTTTTTCGCTTGTAAACAAACCAGCTAATCCCTTTGAAGACTTTGCAGCTTTTATTTGGAGGATAGGGAGAAGTGAGGATTAATCCTGGTGTTGTAATTGTATCAAAGAGGGTAACGAATAACAATGCAAATATCTGCTGCGAAGTTCATCGGGGTCAGAAAATAAGCATATAGCACTTCAGTCCTTTGCTGAGAACAGAACCAATGGAGATTCAGCGCAGAACCTCAAACCGTTACACAAGGTGCCTCTTTCTGTTCAGCTGTACGCTGTTTTTTTGCTTGCCTGACCTTTTATCCATCATAATGGGCTATGGCTTTACTGAACCAGTCTCCCTTACCAGTAGCTTAGGTGGGGCAATTTTAACATTGAAGTAGCAATTACATTTTGTAAGTAATACCATCCAGAATAATATATGAAAATTCATGTCAACTGGGAGACTACCTAGTGATTGAATTGTGTGCTGAACGTGAGGTGAGGGGGGTTGATCGGTTGGTTTTTCCCCTCCTCTTGCTAATTCTAAGTGAAACTTCAAATAGTTTGCTCGATCCTGAACTTTGCTTACCTGGCCTACATCTTCAAGATGGTTTGGGCTGTGTGTTTCAGTTAGACACTTGGGGTTATCCCTACCTACACAAGCCCATAAGGAATGTCTTTTATGATGAAAAGTATCTTTTCTTTCAAGAAGGAACTAGGGAGCATATTTCTAAATTGGTTTCATCCATTTATTCAAGGTTTGGTTTGGAATCATGGGTCTGCTCATTTCCCAGTACGTGTTCAGTTCTTATGTCATCTAATGCTAGGTACTTGGGCTAAGAAAGAATCAGGCCATGGTCCTGCAGATGTTTTACATATCCATAACCTAATCACATGAATGAAGTTAGGTGCGTGTTGTATTTGGAGAACTGAACTCCTTGTGATTTGCTTCTTTTAAACAAAATTTTTTTGTAAATGGGATTGGGGGATTTATGTTAAAATGGGCTTTCAAAATAGAATTAAATGAAATTCCTAGAAGCAGTTTGTCTATGATGGATTAAAAGGAGGACAAAAAAGTGTAAGCCTGAATAGAAAACGTCGGTATCCTGTCTCTCAAATCCTCGTTTGAGTGCATTTAGCCAATTCCTGTCGCTGCTGGGAAGTGAAGATTTCTATGAAGGAAAAAGAATCTCAAGTGTTTTAATGGAATCTAGAAGTTTTCAAACAACTTTTGCTGCTTTAATTTGTTACCATGGTTATATAACATGCCAGAGTCTGCAGGAAAGAACTCGTTTATCGAGATAGAAATGGCACGTTAACACAAGTCGTATTTTTTTTCCAATTTGGTTGTTGGGTTAATAATGTTGAAAAGAGATTCCTTCATTCTAATTGCTCGTACTTTTAAATATGAACTTGAAGTCTGTTCATATTCTTTGAAACCACTTGCAAATAACTCTTAAACAGCTCCTGTGTCTGTCCAAAAAAAAAAAATCTTTTTCCCTCATGAAAATCTTCTCCTTGTAGAGAAAGTGCTGTCACATTGTAATTCTGTGCCATTTTTATGCACCTGGAATAAAAACCATGAAAGGGAAGGAGAGAGAGAAGGAAAAGTGCTACATAGCTATTTTCTGCCCTGAAATGTGTCCTACATTTTTAATAAGATCCCAGATTGTAGCAGTGGCCATTGATTTTTGTATAAGGAGTGAATGCCTTTTGCTTCTCTTGCATATGTGCACATTTACTACTTTTTTAATGCCTTGTTTGAATTAAATAACACAGTGCACTTAAAAAAAATTAAAAATTTTCTGGGAGTCTTATTAGCTCATTGAGATGCTGCCGCTCTTTTATGTACTGTGACAGAAACCCCTTGGTCAAATTGTATCTGTCTCTTTTTATCCCATTTTTACCAGTAGATAATGTTGCGATGAAAGATCCTCCGGACTTATTGGACAGGCAGAAATGCCTGGAGGCCTTGGCGTCTCTGCGGCACGCCAAATGGTTTCAGGTTGGCTATTTGTTCTTACCTTATTGTTATTGTAGCCTTATGAAGTTTAATTTGAGACACTTTTAATTTTAATGCCTCCTTTAATTTCTCATGAGCCCCTCTAGAGCAAAGGTCTAGAACTCCGAATTCTAAATGCTATACTGTAAAAGTGAGACTAGTAGGTAGATAGCCAACTGGTACAGTGTTGTCATGAGGCTACAAAAGCAATTTTAGCATTAAGCTTCCCTTTACTATTAAGCCTGCCTTTCTAGAAAATGAAATATTTTGCTTTTCTGTAACTTTTGTTTTATTTTGCATGAAAACTGATTAAGTGCTAATTAGTAATCGCATTAAAGAACTTACCCCAGGACTGTGTGCATTTAAAAAACAAAGTTGAAGGCTAGCTGTCTGTGGGTGTACTGGAACCATTTTGTTTGTTTTAGGCCAGGGCAAATGGACTAAAATCATGTGTAATTGTCCTACGTATTCTGCGTGATTTGTGCAACAGAGTCCCCACGTGGGCACCACTGAAAGGATGGGTAAGTACAGAAAGGGGGTGAAGCAGCAACAGGGTCTAACTTTCTAAGACTTCACGATGTGGCCATAAGACCAAGGAATTTAGAGGGCTCAAATGCAGCAGCATGCCCTGCCCTGCCCTTCCCTCTGTTAGAGCCATCCTTGGTTTGCTTAGAAAAGTGCTGGATTGCAGAAGTGAGGATGGAGAGGGGCTGCTTGCTTTGGTTTTGGTAATTTTGTGGTGTGGGCATACCACGCAGCAGTGTCCACAGCGTGCTGCATGTTCTTTGGGACTCGCTCCCTGCCACAGACATAGGATTTTTCAGTGTCTGGCTGTAGTGGCTGGTCCGGATAACCTTGGAATGATAGCCTGAGGGTGAACAGCTGCAGCAGAGATGTTGGTCCCATTCTGCAGGGAACAACCCTGCCGTGGGGTAGTCCAAAGAAGAGGACTGCAAGGCTGTATGGGGGCAGCGCCTCTCCTTGGGTAGAACTGACCTCTCATGTTGAAGTGGAACTGTGTTCATCCTGGCACCCATACTAACTGTAACTTAATATCTTGCAGCCACTAGAGCTTATATGTGAAAAATCTATAGGTACTTGCAATAGACCCTTGGGTGCTGGAGAGGCCTTGCGACGAGTGATGGAGTGCTTGGCGTCTGGAATCCTGCTCCCCGGTAAGGGCCCACAAGAACTTCCATGGCTCAAAAGTCTGATCAGCCTGGTTTTTTGGAGGCCCGATTCGATCTTGTAGGCACACACATGCTTGTGCTCAGTTGCGCCTAGAGGGTGGCTTAGCGTAGGGATCAGTAGAAATGGGAATGCTCCGTGGTTTTAAAGGTACTAGCTGTCACCTACACATGATGAGCAGGGACTAACAGGGGATGGTGGGCTGTGCACCCCAGAACTGCTGCTTGTGGACTGGAGGCTGCCTGCTAGCACAGTTCCACGTTTTGCAGTCAGTCCACCACCCTGTTGTACTCCCCAAAAGTCTTAACACATACCTTTCAACTCTTAGAAACCTGGGGTTATCTTGTTCCCCAAGATGGGCGAGTCTGGGGCTCTGCACATCTTTCATGGACTTGCGCCTTCTTGACTCAGCAGTCTTCCCATTCATTGCATTCCTCCTGAACAGTGTGCTTTCCCCTTGTAGGGGGCCCTGGTCTATATGATCCCTGTGAGCGGGACCCAACAGAGGCCATGTCCTATATGACGGTTCAGAAAAGAGAAGCCATTACACACAGCGCTCAGGTAGACAGCTTCTTTCAGGGACCTGGCTGTTCCTGGTGAGACCTTATGTGATCCTCTTGCCCCTTTTCTTCAGGATGGCGGCTGCTTTTGGCAGGCTTGTGAGAGCTGTTCTCAAGCCCTGCCTCATCTTGAAAATGGCAGAGAAGGCAGCTCCGTGTCTGTGGGCTGTCTGATACCCACTTATAGCCCCTGTGGGTGTGTGGGCCTTGTGTGGGCTCCCCGCCCAGGGCTGAACAACATGTAGTGCATCCCAGAAATAGCTGCTTCTAACTTGGGTTTTGTGAAATTATTGCCTTTTGTAAAGATCAGAGTCCTTTCTCACATTGTGCCTATAGGCATCATGAGAAGCGCAGACGCCCATGGGAAAGCACTGCCGTGAAGTAACTCTCATTTCTATTCTCACTTTCCAGCATGCGCTCAGATTATCAGCCTTTGGTCAGATCTATAAGGTGCTGGAAATGGACCCCCTCCCATCAAACAAATCATTTCAGAAATACTCCTGGTCAGTAGCTGACAAAGAAGGTAAGTGCTGGTTGACTCCTTGGGGACCTGGTGAAAAACACAGACTGGAAAGCAGACTGTGTGCTTGACTTCTCTTGGCCAGAGTGAAATTTCTCTGGGTTATATGCTCTGTGTCAGAAGAAGGTTTCTCTAAAAATGATTACACTGTTAAGGGAAAATCTAACATCTCTCTCTGCTTATTACAAGAACATACAGCACGCCAAGGGAAATACAGTTTTACTGTGGTATATTTGGTGTCTTTTCTTTCCAACACAAGCCCTCCTTGGGGCATGCAGAGTAAAAGTAATGTTTAAGTCCCCTTTATGCTGGGGAAAGAGAGCCTTTAGATGAGCCAAATAAGCAATACTAGATCAGTGTCCTTGAAAAGATTCACTGCAAAGAAGCCCTTAGGGGTGGAAAGAAAAATAAAACATAAATTTCCTGATGATCCATCTAAACGCAGCACTAGTCCAATTGTCACCTTAGATGAAACATCAAAGATGAAGTAGATTTTGGCAGTCTCAGCTGTAGGTTCACAATACCTGTGTTTGTGTGGGAACCTCTGGGGTTTGATCTTAATCAGTACTTGTAGGAATAGACAAAATGGTTCCTGTATTAGACATCCGGTCAGTGCTGTAACTGTTTAATCTCCCAGGCCAGTTCCATTTCTTTTTGTCAAGTAATCTAAACTGAAGAGCTTATTTTTTGTAAACTTCCAGTTTTTGAATAACATTTTCCAAAAATACACCAGAGGCACTGTTTTGAATTCAAAACATGCAAAAATATATGCAGGTGGATCCCGGTCGTTGTCACCCCCACCCCCCTAACTCACACTCTTGCCCCCTTAAACCTTGGGATTAATGCAAAGTGTTTTCTACCCAAAACTAAGATAGTGGAGACAGTTAGAGGTCTGTATAGCAGAGACTTCAGGCAGGTGCTGCAGACCAAGGTAAATGAAATATGCTGAGGGATGAGCTCTCTGTCATGAAGCTGCCAAAGTACATATGTAGCTAAGCTCTAAGCATTAAAAAAAATCCTTTTCCACCTATTAGCTTTCTCCCTTTATTGGTTAGGAGAGCATAGTCTGGGTAATAGGATCTGATGAATGCATCCTATTAGCCTCTTTGCTCCATCCTGGCCCTCTTATAATTAAGAGATCGTGTCTTTTGGTGTTGGAACTCTGTCACAGAAATAATGGCTTGTGCCATGTGATAATGGGGAGGCCAGCCCCCACCATTTATTTTTAAAGTGAGAGCATTGATCCAGTGACACTGTGTATTACAGGGACTTTTTCTCTTATAGTAAATGATGGGTGGAGATATTTTTTTTTCACCTGATGGATGCTGAGCTCAGGACCATTCCTGACCTGCTCCATTATAATAGGCTTAAAGAATAGACCTGTTGTGTACTGCAGCTGGAGTTGGCATATTGGTAAAAGTACAACGGGATCAGATGAGGAGGATGGGGGTTTTGTCCAGCTAACTTTTATCTGCGTCAGCAGCCTGGCGGCTGGCACATGCTAGATATGGAATAATGCAAATTAAATACAGAACTGAGGAGGTGGTGACGGAAGCTAAGACGTATTTACTTCAGGCTGTCCTACCTCCAATTACAGTAAATCTTGATGTCCGCAGAAATGCAATATTTGGGTTTTTTTTTCTTGGGTCTTTGACTTCATCTCCCCTGCAGAATGCTATTTTAAAATAACCAGCTGTTTCATTTGCAAAAATTATTGGACTTAAAGTAGAGATTTCCAGATACATTATCTAATGATGCTTGTCATCTTTTCTTGCTGTCTGAGGCTTGCACATGTGAGCTGACTGGCTGACATTGCAGACCAGTGGGGGTAACAACGGAAATTAATAGATTTATCGTTTGACCCTTCATGGCGAGTGAAAAGCCCGAGTTCTTTGCTATCAGATGTAGACCTCCTGATGGGTGGTTCTTAGTTGAAAGGTTGACACTGAAGCAGAGGGTAATTCAGGGCTAATCAGACTGAAGTTATGGGATTGTTGCTTTGTTTTTGTGGACTAGCAAGTCCATGTGATAAGAATTATCTTTCAGGTGCAGGCTCCTCTGCTCTGAAGAGGCCATTTGAAGATGGAGTAGGGGATGATAAAGATCCAAATAAAAAGATGAAGCGCAACTTGAGAAAAAGTAAGTGCAGCTATTATCTGTTCCAGCTTCAACGGGGCATTGTTGGTTACAATAGGAGCTGATTCAAAGGCTGCTTAGTGTTAGTGGAATGGCATGCGAAAGAGCTTCAGTAATGAAATGTTTGTGCGTTTTCCATGCTGCTGTGCTCAGAGCTTCAAACACATTTGCTCTTATGGTGGGTTGAATTCCTTTGTCCAGACTTTACTAACTGAAGGGCTCAAGTTACTGATGAGGTTACTGTAGCAGCTGGCATTAAGACTCGAGTAATCTAACGAGTTGAGGTATTTTTATTTGTAACATCTGAAAATGTCTTTCAAGAAACTACAGCCGTCTCCCAGTCTATCAGCTATTCATACACGGGTGCTCTTGGGACAGGTGTCTAATAGCACACGTCATCCCAAGAGAAGGTAGATGTTTATTCCACAAGCAGATGAAGAGTGAGATGTGCACAGAGAGCTTTCTTTGGATTACTGTGATAAGAGTGAGCCTGGGGATTCTTCATCTGAAACCTAGCTGCAGGCATTTCCAGGTTCTTCATCACCTGCGAAGTTTTGCTTTCATTTCTGGCAGCCAGGAAAACCCTGATTTTAATATCAACAGAGTTCTGAGCTTGCAGCAGCACCAGAGGCTGGGTAGCAGTGGTTAAACCAACCAGCAAAGTAGACCACTACAAGTTTCACACTTAGCTCCTCAAGTGGAAGGTGCTTTAAAAATGCAAACTGTTTTTATTTCTCCCTACGTTTCATTTATTAATCTCCCTCTCTCTCTTCTCCCTGCCCTCCTGTAACAGTCCTAGACAGTAAAGCAATAGATCTCATGAATGCTTTGATGAGGCTGAACCAAATCAGGCCAGGTCTTCAGTATAAGCTTCTGTCACAGTCTGGTCCAGTCCATGCCCCGGTCTTCACCATGTCTGTAGATGTTGATGGTACAACATATGAAGCATCAGGACCTTCTAAGAAAACAGCCAAACTCCATGTGGCAGTAAAGGTAAGGCAGAAATGGACCTGAATCTGAGTTCAGCTGGCTATTTCAAATTCCAGACCTTGGAAAAGAGTGCAGGCTTTGGTTAGAACTAGCAATGGGCAAACTCCCAAAAGGGTGGGCTGTCTGCATCAGCTATTAGCAGCTTGTTCAAAGCTTAGCTGGGCCTTTCTCAAAGAGCGCTGGTCGGATGCCAGAACGACAACTTGTTCTGTTGTCTCCTCCACCCGGTTCTGTGTGAGGTTCTGTCCCTGGGTCGTGAGCTCCTTGCTGCAGGGAATGTGTCCATCTTGAGCATTCGGAGAGCACCTGGTGCATCACAGGGGTTAGTTAAAATAAGACAATGATGAGTCATAACTGGTCTCTGCTTAATCCATCCCAGTGAGGTTGCCTGAGCCGTTCTAGCGTTGCCCCTTGCAGGAGCTCTGTAGGAGGGAGCTGGAGTTGGTACAATATCAAGAGATTTGAGTTGTTGGGTGGTAAATAGGAACTACCATTAGGGTTGCCCCTGTGCTAATGCATGCAAACAGTTCATGCTTTGCGGTACTGGATCTGGCCTGGTGCACTGCTGAGACAGGAGGGAAGAGTTATCTGCAAACTGCAAACAAAAAAAACAACCAAAAAAAAAGAGTTTGCCAAGCTGCAGTGGCAAGAGAAATGAGCCCATCTGCCATACTCCACAATTCACTTTGTGTTTTGAATAAAAGCTTTCTTTTTAGAAGGTTCTTCCTGCAAGTTTGTTTTCCTTTGATCTAAGAGTCAAAAATCCCATTGTCCCATGAGCTTTCATGTTCAAAGTACCCCAAACTATTTGATAAAACATATCATTCTACAGGAAAAGTAGCTCTGTGTGTCTATGCATCCGCCCTGCATCAGTATTTTTTTAAACCATTAAACACTAAAAAGCATTGATTTATCTTGGCCTTCTTTCCCAAGGGCTGTTCTGGGCCTCCCAGGTCCTGGAGGAGACCCCACAGGCCCATTTTCTCCAAGCTGCTGTGTACATATGAAGTGACCAGTAACTTCATTAGCCTAGATTTCCTTTTTCCTCTGTTCTCTGCCACACAGCTTGCTCCTTGTACCAATAACTTAGAAAAATGTGTTTGCTGGCATTAATAAAGCAGCTACAGATGTGGGGGAGACTTTCACAGGGCTGCATTCCAGTAGTGCTGCGTTCTGGGTAGGATCAGGTATCACTGGGCTGCACTTGAACCTTCGCTGCTTCCTTGAGAATAGAACCACTTGCACCATTCCCGTCGAGCAGATGTGCTGTGTTTCAGTTCTCCAGATGGGTCGTTTGTCCTCTTTGTTCTGCAGACTTGTGTGCTCATCTCAAAGGAGTTTGGGTACAAATAGTACTTCTTGGCCCCACTATCAGGTATTGTCATGCAGTGACTGTGGTCTGACCAGCACAGTCTATAGCTTATCTGCTTTGTACCCAGCTTCCCCATGCTATAGTTTTTAGTCTTCTGTGGTAGCCTCAGTTGGGAGAACAGCGTTCATGACCAGCTTCTCCACTTCACACTAAAATATCCGTGCTATATTTGAAGTTGGAGGGCCCCTAGGACCATTCTTTCCCATTGGCTCTGGACTTTTCTGTAGGTTAACTCTGTGAAAAAGAACACTTCAAAGAGGTGTCTCCTGATGTGAGATCTTTTACACTGCCTTATTATTGGTCTTGCATTCATTTTTAACCCCCTAAATGGTTTTACCTTTCACTTAACATCATTTTGTACAGGTTTTACAAGCAATGGGCTACCCCACTGGCTTTGATGCAGACATTGAATGTATGAGCTCTGATGAAAAATCAGATAATGAAGGTAAAAATGAGACAGTGTCTTCAATCTCAAGCAATAATACTGGAAATCCTACTGTCGACACCTCCACTACCTTAGAGGTGAGTATTCCCCTGAAGTCAGTAAGAGTGGGGGTTTTACTTCAGGAAAATGGCCTTACAGTAAAGGCAGTGGACTTCAGATTGGGAAAATCTGGTTTCCAAGTCCTAGATCTGCCATAGGCTTCCTGTTTGATCACAAATCACTTAATTCTTATGCGCCTCATATCCTAAAATGTGAAGTTAGGACAAGTCAGAGAAAACTATCCGGTTTAGATTGCAGGGTCTCTGTGGCAAGGACTGCATCTGTTTTGCCCATGTATGGCACCTGTGACAAGGAAGACCTATTTTGGTTGTGGATCTTAGACTCTTACAAGACGAATAAATTGGTGCCTTCCTATTTTATGTCATAAAGCACTATTTTAGAGCTGTTTATGTTAAAAGTATCTAGAGATTGATCAAAGTACAGAAAATAGCAGTCTAAGTCTGTTTAAACATATCCCAGTTCATTTTTAAAGTCATAGCAGCTTTGTGTGTACTTGTAACAGCTGAACGGACTAAGAAGGGACTACATGGAAAATGTTACACTCTGTACGCACGTTCATTGAGTTTTGTCTCTAGCTGCTTGACTAGGGAGGTGGAAAGAGCACATTAAGCTTCTGGTTTGTCCGTCTGAATATTCTGTATTTAAAAATATGAGCGACTAAATTTGTAAATACAAAATTGCGAGGAGTCTGCAGTCCGTTATAAACTGAACATTTTCTTAATAATGTGTCCCATTATTTAACTGTTATCATTCACTGGTAAACCAGGAGATTCAAAGGTAATACACTTGGTCGTCTTCACGGTTTTCCTGATCTCCACAACTGTCCTTTCACTTCCCCAGGGATTCCAGAAAAGTGTCTGTGCTTAAACACGGAGCAGTGGCATTTATATAATTGCTTTGCCTGGTATCTTTGTGAGGTTTTCAGGGGATTGTACAGATAAACAGATATAGATTCTTGCCTTATTTTTAGATGTAATGCTTCTTTCAAATAAGTGCTTTTCATGCTATAAATATAAACATAAGTAATCTTTCTGTTCTGCAGATATTTTTCCAGTATGTTGAAATGTGGATTTCCTTCTGCTTGAAAGCACATTATTTAAATGTGTTAAAACTAGGAGTCAGACAATGTGCAATCACTAACATCACAATTTCACATATTAGTCTTGTAAAACCTTTTTAGAAAAAGAAATAGAATATTCTAAATTTACCATCTTTGCCAGTTCATTTTTAGCTACAGAAACGTTATCTGCTTCTGCAGTAAAACATGAAAATAGGTCTACAAGAGCCAAGATTTTCAAAAGTGACTCATGTCTTTGAGTGACCAAAGTCTGACACCCTCACAGGACCTGAATTTTGGGGGACAGCTGCCTTGTGGGAGGGGGCAGGTGGGGGTGAAACGGGACACGCGCACAAAATTGAGTCTGAAAATCTTGTCCTGGACCCCTTCATCTCTCCCTCTCTCTCCTTTTTTGTGTAGCCGCTATGCTTCCAGCTGAGTGGGTTAAAATGCAGTTTAATGAGGGCACTGGCTTCTTGTCTCTGCATTTCTCCCCCAAAATAGTTACAGCTGAAACTACTGTAACACGTGACCCAAGTTCTGCAGTTTCTCCAGTCAGCTCAAAAATGCCAAGCGGATAGTTAGCTGAGGCAACAGAGATGTGCAGGGTTAGGAAAGGCAATCTCTCCTTAGTTGTGTAGCAGTTGCTTTCCAGAAATTTGACACGCTGGCATTAGCTTCAACTTGGATGCCCTTTGGGTTGAACCTCACAGGGCAGCCAACGGCCTGACACTCCATGTTGCAAAGATAATCATGACTTAATGATGGAGACAGCTCACTGCTTGCTGGAGACTGAGATGAAGGGGCAGTGATACCTGATTTTAAAGACAGGAAGGCTGGGGCAGGAACCCCTATGGAGCAGAGTACTTGTTGCCTACTGCTCAGCTGCAGCATGTTGTGCAGAAGCTCTGGCAATGCTCTCCGCTGCAAGTCTGTCCTTGGAGAGCCCGTTAAGGCCCTTGTATCGAGAAGAACAAACTGTTTGAGAAGGAAGGTGATAAACTCTGGTGTCTTCCAGAGAGGTAGGCATGGGGTTGTTTTATGTTGACCTAATGTAGATATGCATCTGCTGTTCAGGGAAGTTCAGCTTCTAAATTGTTGCACATGTCTCAGCAGGTAAGAACTCAGGGCCCTATTCTCACGGCGAGTGGCAAAAACCCAGTAATGGAGCTCAACGAAAAAAGAAGAGGTCTTAAGTATGAGCTCATCTCCGAGACAGGTGGGAGCCATGATAAGCGCTTTGTAATGGAGGTGAGTGAAGCAGGGCCCTGCAGGTGGCTTTGTTAATAATTCTCTGGTTCTCTGCAGTTTGGAGCTGTCCGATGTTCACGGTGCACAGCAGGGATGAAAATTTTTCAGTTTTCGATCTCTCCTAAAGCCAGGCTGTTTGTGGGATGTTGTGGGGAGGAAGGAGGGTAATACAGTGGGAGTAGAGATTGGGTTATGAAGGCTGCTAAGCACATCCCTGCCCAGATGGGGAGAGCGCAGAATATGCAGTTTATACAACATGGCCCACTAAGCTGCAGGTTTCACAAACAGTCCTGGCAGCCCCGGGTGTGACCTGGTTTGACCCTCTTGTTTTCTGTTCAGCAGTGCGTAGGAATGATACAGCAGAGTCCATTTAGCCTCTGTCTCAATATTGCTATACAACAACAATATTGCTCACTCAGCACAGTACTGATGGGCTGCTGTAAGGCAATTACAAGGCAGATCTCCATCACCAAGAACCACCCTTCATATGGGCCCTTGAAAATGCAAGGGGGGTGCAAGGTATTGATTGGGGTGGCAGGCACAAGGATGCCTTCAAATCCAGCAGTATTTCCTAGGAGTATATATTGCATGGGACTTAAACCGAAGGTCCAGGCTGATAAAAGACCTCATGGCTGCCTTCCTAAGTGCAGTGATTCTGACTCCAGTGTGACAGCCAGAGTCCATCCCAAGTAAATACATGTCATTCATTAAATTCCTCTTGAGGAAATGGGGTTCTGCAGCCTTGTTCAAGTAATCACTGACATGTCCTTTACCTACTAATGCAGAGCTGCTGGTCGTACTCTCGACCATACAGTGCCTTGTGCTCCCTGAAGGAAATGCAAGCTTATATTTTATTTGTAACAGTGAATTTCCCTGTTGTTTAAATTCTTTGCAAATGGCTTCTGGTTTCAGCTGAGAACAGCTTGCCTTTCCCAGCAGGAGACATGCTGGGTATAAATTCATGTCTCCATTCCAGGTAGAAGTAGATGGGCAGAAGTTCAGAGGCGCAGGTCCAAATAAGAAGGTAGCAAAAGCTAGTGCCGCCTTAGCAGCACTTGAGAAGCTGTTTTCTGGGCCAAATGCAGCAAACAACAAGAAAAAGAAGATTCTCCCTCAGGTAAGGACCCCAGCTAGTCTTTGTATGTAAAACCAGTCCAGCTTTAGGGGTAGCATTCACAGCTGCTGCAAGGAGACAGGTTGCTTCACTGTACTGATTTCATGCATCCTTGTCAGTGCTTGTTTCCATTTTTAATACTCTGTCATGGCAGTAACTGAGAGGCCCCACTGCCATGGGGAGTCTGTTATCTCAGGTCTAACTATCTAGTTAGAAACGGTTCCTGTCCCAAAAGGCTTAGAGCAATGTGGGAGGAAAGGGGCAGGGAAAAGAGGGATTTGGCCCGTGGCCACGCAGCCGGTCAGTGGCTGAATTAGTGGCAGAGGCAAGGTCTCCAGAGCTCCGGTCTGATACCTAGCCTAGCGAGCTATACTCCTTGTCTTTGAGGGTGCTCCTTCTTGAACGCAAGGCTTTACTGGATGAGGAAGATTCGTGTAGTGAAAGTTTCACCGCAGGCTCCTTTCTCTGTGAGATTTTTTTAACTATCTGAATCAGGAAAATTGTTCCTGAGAGCTACAATCAATGCCTGCTCGTTTCTGCGAGATTCATGTCGAGCGGAGTGAAAGCTGATCACCAGCATGCTTCCTCCAGAGAGCTGCACTCAGAAATAAGCCCTGACAATTACAGCTTTGATCTCCTTTGTGCAGATTAATTGGAATTAGGATTTTTCCAATCTTTGGAAAAATGCATTTTATGCTACGTCCTGCCGTAGCGTCAGATATGCTCAGAGAAATTACCGACCGATTTGTATTTTCTCTGTAAATTCGGTACATGATGATTATGATTATAGCAGTTTGCCCAGGTTCACTCACTGAGACCTCCAGTTGCTACATCCCATTCAGCTTCCATTATTGCCTTATAATCCAATGCATGAAGATTGTTCTTCCCTATCAAGACAGCAACTAAGAAATGAAAACAAGCTCAGATCCCGGCTCCTTCATGCTTTGATGGGTTTTTTGTCACTTTTCGCGCTCAGCTTCTTGAAAGAAGTCGTGCTCACTTTATGAAGTGCTCTGATCTGCCACACAAGGTGGTCTGTCTGCCTGCTAGGGCAGAGCAGGCCTCTGCAATTACATGGAGCAAAGCATGCGCGCGGACTCCGGGTTAGAAAAGCGGAGGCCTGGTGATTGAGAGACCCGGCCAGCTCAGCCTGTGGTTACAATAAGGCATTTACGCTGCTCTGTCTATTGTGCATTTTAAAAACAGAAGGGAAAATTGAGAAAAGGTGTTTACCAAGTAGGCTAAGCAGATGGAGCCGGAAGGTAATTAAGGAATAAGATACTTGTACCAAAATGGAGAGAGAAGGCAAGGGATTCATTCAGCCGTGTCTGAGGGGAACAGGCTCTGGTGGCATACGAATAAAAGTGAACATTTTTAACCTTTAGACTCCACATTCGGTAACAATGATAGAATAGTAGTAGGCTGGCAGGTCTTTGATACAAAATCTCTCTTTTTGGGACAGTGAAGGGAAAGATCTGTCTGATTTGTAAACTGATATTTGGCATGCTAGTCCGGGTGGGGTAGCAAACGTGTTTCACGTTTAAATCCTGTTTTAACAAATCTAAATATACCAGCCTAGATGTCTAAAGTACAGGAACCAAAATAAATGGCCCCACTTTCAAATGTGTTGACTGCTTGACAGCTGCTGTCAGCACCTAGTCTCAGTGCTGAGTACTCAACAATTCAAAAAATCTGGCCACCTAGAAAGGCTTAGAGGCATGGCATTAGGAGCCTAACGGTAGGGTTGCATCTTTGTTTCAATCTCAGCCAGTGCTTGTGTGTGCTTTTCCACTTATGAGAGCTGTATGATTGCAGGTGAAATCCTGGCTCCAGTGTAGTAACCCTGGATGTGTTACAGGGGAATCTTCATATACATATAAAAACACACCATTTTGGTCTTTCTCCGCTGACCTAATTGGTCCTGGCTCTGAGCTTAGTACCTCAGGAGGTAAAGCCAAGGCAGACCACACTGAAGCTTTACATTCAGGAGAGGTTTGGAGTCCGAAGTAGGGCTGACAGTCTCCCTTCCTCCAGTGCTTGACTTTCTCAACAGTGTCAAGGATTTTTGATGATGTAATGTGCAAATCGAGCCTTGTTGCAGTGACTGTATATGCTTCCAAGTCGTAGCTGAGTCAGGTGGAGATGGTTTATTGTTCTGTAAGTGGTAGCACTGGGGCGTTCTGTAAACTAGTAAGTTTGGTCACTTGTCTGTACTAGAGCCCTAAACTCTCCAGAGATTGACTGCAGAATGGAGCAAGTGGGTGGGTACTGTCCTAATGAGTACAGTTTAGGGGTAATGCTGATAATATTGCTGTTATTAAAATGGATTGCTTGGTGTGTGCAAGAGCTCGTGCTCTCTCGCGTTCTAAGTCCTCCCCATTTTTATTTATTCTGCACAGACTAAAGGAGTTGTAAATACAGCTGTGTCTGCAGCGGTCCAGGCTGCTCGAGGCAGAGGACGGGGTGCTTTAACGCGAGGGGCATTTGTTGGGGCAGCCGCTGCTACTGGATACTTAGCACCAGGTATGTCACAACACTAACAGCTAAGAGTTTCTCCATCCTGGCTGTCCTTGTACAAACTGTGGGTGCCGGCCTAGTCCTTTCTGTATCATAGAAACATAAGGCTGGAAGGGACCTCAGGAGGTCATCTAGTCTAGCCCCCGGTGGCAGGCTTCACCACCCTGGTAATTTATTGGGTTTTGTAGCACGGAAGAGGCAGAGGAAGAGCAGTAGCGTGTGTTTTAAATATAAGGAAGGAAACTCAGATTCTGTATAAAGCTGGTAACATATTTCACTTGTAGGCAGAGAGCTTGTGGCTGCTTACACACAGAAAATGAGCAAATAACTGTCCTCGCCCAGCCCTTTTCCCAGGCTCTGTAATTCTCGTCTCTGCCTTTCTGAGAGCTCTTGCCAGGGACATTGATTCCAAGAGCTCCCTGCCCCGTCAGGAAGCCTCCTGCACAAATGCACCTGCTAGTGTTAGGACTGGCTTTACAAAGAACACTTCATACTAAATGCACTACACCATCACCCTCGGCGGAGAGGGAGAAGAGCGTTATTTGTGCATCCAAAAATCAAAACACTGTCCTGTGCGAGTTACTTCCCAGTGAGCAGAAGAGCCTTGCCTCCTGATGGTTTTCCTCCACAGCCCTCCTCTAGCTCCCCTGATGAAAGGGTGTTGACTGGGATGTGCTCCTGTGCCAGCATGTATTCCAGGTACTGAGCTGTAAGGAGTCTCCTGGCAGGCTTGGGCATGATCTATGATAGCGCTCTTGAGAACGGGCCACATAGGTTGGAAGTGGGAGCTCAGGCATCTCTTAACAGCTGCTACATTTGGGAAGACTTCAGTCGGGAGTTCGTGTTCTGGCTGATGTCGCTCTACGTTTTCCGTTATGTTGCCTTAAGCAGACGAAGCACAGGTCCAAGCTGACGGGTGTTTTGTGTGTGGACGGTCCATTTAAATTCATATTGCTTGTTACAAGAGACAGGTAAGTTGCTCATCGGGTGGTTTCACTGCTCACTCCCCATGGCGGGTGAGAAACCACCAGGAGCAGACCTGTTGCTACCAGATCTGAGGTGCACAGTAAAATGTTTCTCACCATTTCTGCAACAGCTTAGGTGCAGCATAATCACCTAAGTACACCCTCCAGCAGTTCCTAATGTTAACGGCGCAGCCCTGTTGTTCAATATATTTACTTCCTGGTGCCATCCACAGCTTGATGTTTTTATTGTTTCTGTAGGTTGATGTAATTATAAATATTAAAAACCAGTAATTCATTTTTAATGGACTTTAACATTGTTTCTGGAACTGCTTCTCTGTCTGAGGAGTCATTTATGAGACATTTAACCTGCTAGAGGCACGATCCTTGCCAGCATGGAGTTTTTCCAGAAATGGGTTTAATTACCCAGTCATTGTACTTGTTAAGTATTTATTCCTCTTGGCCTTCCTAAATACTTTCTCTTCATTCCTAATCCCTCCCAAAAAGGCATTTTTGGAGACGGACAAAAAATCTCCTTCTAGTAGCGAAGGTGTTAAGTCCTAAATGTACTAGCAAGCAGTAGTGACCAAGATCGATGCTACTGCCCTTTTTTATTCAGCAACTAAATGCACCCTTTCACTTCACATACTTCCCCCTTGTCCTGCTGGTTTGAGAGAGATTCCCAGACATGCTCTGCGGAGTACCGTGGGACGGTGGATTCTTGTTTGCAAAATCCTTACTGACGAGGATCTTGGCATTTACTTTAGGCCTTCAGTGTAGTCTTCTTTCTAAAACGGGGAACTGAGGGAAGTGGCTGTTCTCCACATGAAGTCGTATCAATATTTGTAGGGGAAGATGGTGTTTGTAAACGGAGCCTGGCTAGCTTGTGCTGTGTGCTCTTGTTAATTAGAAAGAAAGTGTTAAGAGGAACTGAAAGAGGGAGCTGCACTCTTCTACTCAGAGTTTTTTTAAAACAGCAGTAGTGTTGGGCAGCTTCAGAGCTTGCTGGGTTGCTTGTGGGCTTCTGTTCTCCAGGCAGCCACCTGGAAGAACTACTCCTGAATCATGCTAAGTGTTGTTGAATGCCCTGTTTTGCACATGGCCCAGGTTGGTTCCCCAGAAGGGACCATGTGTGTTCATTTGCAAACTCAGATTCTTTGAGTGCAGCAGGGAATGAACCCCGTCTCGCTCTGTTTGTATTTCAGGCTATGGGGCACCATATGGGTATAGCACAGCTGCACCAGCCTACGGTACGTACGTCTATTAATTGCTTGAGCTAGAAGGGGTATCAGAACTACCATGGCAGTCCTCTCAAAACCAAAATATTTGTCTAGGGTTTGCAAGAGAGAGACAGATACAGAAACCAACCTTTTCTTTGAACGCGATGATGACATTTAACTCTGTGCCATAACCTTGTGGTTCTTTTTTGGTTGGAGCAGCTTTTTGCCTATGCTTTGCCTGATTGTGGAAGGACTGCTTGTTCTAACTGCCTGTTCCCTTTCATACTGAAACTGAATATTTAAGTAGTTCTATTACCTTTTACAGCCAACTTGTGCTCCATTCAAAGAATACCTAAGGGCCAAACCCAGTATCTCTGAGCAGTAATTCTTTAATGCCCCTTGGCAAGATATTGGTAAAAGGATGGAAACTAAGTTTTAGAGAACTTGTGGATAAATCCCCTTCCTGCAGTCAGCTGTGTAAAATGTCCAGTAAATCAAAGTTCATCAATCCAGACACATCTATAGGGTTGCAGGCTAAATGTTGCCTCTTGGGACAAGTTAAATGACTCTCTTTTTGTAGGCTATGTTCTTAGAGATCAGACTAAAAGGATGGTAGGGCACCATAACTTGTCATTGCTCTTTGAGCTAAGAAACCCAGTGAAAATGAGGCTGGCAGTTCTATGCGTTTCCTGCAGATTGAAATCCTCCAGAGCCAGGATGAAACCCTTTCCCTCAACTAATCGCCACACGCACCACTTCTTTCCTCCTAGACTTACAAAGCTCTTTTTTTTCCTAACTGGCCCTTTTGGTTACTTTGAATGAGGTTTATGTGGCAATGGGGGCAAACTAGTTTGGAGTCAGTGATATGTTGCAACACAGAGTTAAATGAGGTGCCGTCTGTTGGAGCCAGTTCCAGTGTTCCCCTTAGTGTGTCATGTACAACTGGGTAGGGACCCGTCTCTCTCAAATAGCTAACGTGCCCGCGTGTCTCCAGCAGCCTCGCCTTTTCATACGGCAAACTGAACTCGCCCTGCACGGCTCATGCACTGTGCTCTCACAATGTTGCCTTATTCTTCTAACGCTTGCTTCTGCGTCTAATTTGAAATCAAACTGGTACCAGACACTAGCTTCCCCTAGCCACATTATAAGAATGAAAATTGAATCTGATCTGGGGAAATATTATGGAACTGGACCATTTGATTTCCATACCTAGGAAGGAACGTCTTCCATGTTAATGGTATGTGCTAGATACCATCTGCAGACTCTTGTGCTCACCTCCCTGACATAAATGCCGCTGTTCTCTCATTGGGGCTGTCTAAAATACCCTCCTTGTTGGATCAAAACAAGCTGTTCCCAGTCTATACTTCTTGGTGCAGAGTGGAGTAAGGGACCATGCCAGGGAGCTGCATGAATTCAGTTAAGGAATTTCCTTTGACTGAAGCAGACCCCTCCTCCTAGAAATCTGTCCCCATTGATTGGCCATATTTTTCACACTGTACTAGCTGACAGCAGCGTTCCCTGTCAGTCGTATACTGTGTTGTCTTTCCTGCGCTGTTACTTAAAATAAAGGGAATCTCTATCATTCACACAACAAGAAAACAAATATTTATTGAGGGACCTGCTCATCAGGGGGTGTTTTGAATAACTCCTTTGAAGCCTTCATCCTTGGATGAAACATCAAGAAGACATGGTCCAAGGTGGCTAGTACTTGCACATCCATGTCTTTCACAGGAAGATAAATTGCATATTGAGAACACAAAGGCCAACTTTTGGCTCAGCTGAAGTCAAGGGCAAAGCTCTCATTGACTTCAGTGGGACTGGGAGTTTCACTTCCAGTGCTTCTCCTGTCCCCTCTGTTGGTTTCTTTCCTCCCCTTCCATGTTTTTTTCACTGACATCTGTATTGGAGCCTGGATTTTAGTCACTTCTCTGTGTATGTGTGACGTATCACTGACTTCAAAGTCTTGTGAAATCTGAAGCCCCCGTTTTTCACATAAAGAGTTTTTCTGTTTAATGTCTTATAACTGTGATGCAAAGTACTGAGATAATGCTTTTTTTGGCTGTAAGGTAAACATGTCTTTTTGCCTTTGTAAGCTGTTGCATGTTGGGAAACTTCACTTTGATCATCTGGTGCTCTGGAATACCTGCTGTTGCTGCTTTGTGATTTCTAAATGGATACATAGGTTAAACAATACAACTTAAATAGAAACCATTTTTTTAAAAAGCATTTAAGTATGCAGAAGTTTGTGAGGCCACAAGAACGCTATAATAATCATGAAATTAGGCAAATATTAATCTTTCCAGATTTGTCACTTCAATATATGAACAAATACCGAACAGCTAAACAGATGCAGAATTTCACACTCGAGTGTCAGCGCCTGGTTTTAACAGATCTCAAGGATGTTAAAACTGTGCTGTGCTGCTTCAGTAAGACTTCCCTTGTACGCACAGCAGCATTTATTATCTAGAATCTCTGGTTTTAACTAACCTGTGAAACTGCTTCAGGGTGCTGAACAAGATAGCCCTGATCATTTATCTTCATGAGAACGTGAATTAACGTTTCAAATTTAGTCTGTTTCAACCTACCATGGTACCTTCTACTTCTGAAGTGCATTGCTCATTCTAAATTAAGAGACATTAGGATGATGATAAAAGCCAGTGGTATGTTAAACTCCTGTCTGAAGTAGTACAAAATGAGGAGGTGATTTTTGCTTGTAAGATTCAATGCCCTCAAAAACACATTGACTCATCTGGAAAGGGTTAATGAGAACATTACTGTAAGCTTTTATCTGACTTTATTGGATCATTGAACTTATTTGGAGTCCTCTCCGTTTCTTCTCTCTGTAGGTTTACCCAAGAGAATGGTTCTGTTACCAGTTATGAAATTCCCAACATATCCTGTTCCCCACTACTCATTCTTTTAGCAAATGGCAGAAGCTAATTCCTATTGATTGAACAACACAGTACAGTACAGAATGTTAGAAGAGAAAAAGCCTTTTTATCCTGTTTTCTTTGAACACATACTTGAGCAAAGTCATTTGTAAAGAAACATCTTTTCCTACTTTTTGATTTTAACAAAATGCAAATTTAGTTCTCTAAAACTTGAAAAAAATGTTCTGTGAAATGTTACCTCATTTTCAAATAACTTATACCAGCCTTCTGTTATAGGGAAGAACTAGAAGCTTAAACCTTACATTTTAAATGAAGTATTCGATTATGTAAAATTAAATTTGTGAAGGATGTATAGAATATAAAACACTGATCACAAATAAACTGTTTTGTCGTAACACAGAGTACTGCCTGTTTCCTAATGCAGTCACGCAGGATCTCAGTTAATAACCTGTATTTGTTGTAGGGCTACTTAATACAGGGTGTAGTTATTTAAAAAAGAAAAAAAAAGAAAGTCATACAATAGAAATGTTTCAGTTAAATTTTAACTTTGTAAATATTAAGGTGTGCAATAAAGCTAGAAAAATATGGGTTTAAATATTGTCTTAGCTTATTATTTTTATATATATTTCCAAGCATCAATACCTTGAAAGGGTTCCCTTAGCATCTTTAAAATCAAGGAAGTCAGCATACCGCAAGGCTCAGTAAGTTAGACACTGTCTTAGTTATCCAAGAAGGCTTATCATTTGTATAGAAAATGCTGAAAAAGAAAACAAAGGGAATTATTAACATTAGATGGTCTCTTTGTATTCAGTTATACTGTGTGAAGCTTGTATTAAACAAGGGAAATTCCCATACAAAGACCTTGTTATGTACGCAGAATACGTAGTTAAGTCTGTATTGCCCAGAGAAAGGACAATAATAATGTTATAAGTTCTTTAGAGTTCAAAAGTTGGTTTCTTTTTTTTACAAAAAAATAAATGAATAAGTTGCACTTGTTCTTGTGGCCTTCTTCACTCTGTAAGATTTTGTCTACTCACCTTTGATTTTTTTCCATGTAGCATTCTTACAGATAGCATTTTAGTTGTCAATCTCATTAAAACAAAGAGGTCTCCTTTTTTCCCCTTACATTTATAAGAATCTAAAGCAGCAACAAGGTCCCCATAAAAACTTGCTATTTAATTGTCCCAGTTCTTGTTGAGTGCTGCTGTGAAAAGTGACACATTTCAGCCATAGGCCAGTATCTTCTGATGCGAGTTGGGGCCCAAACCAAAGAAAAAGTCTGTCCTGTAAGGAGTGTGTGCACCTACCTGTCCGAAGTGACAGAGCACCCACTCCCTACTGCCTCTGTGGTATTTCCAGGCTTACGTACAAAAGCTACTGTGCTTTGGGCTCTAACAAGAAAATAAAGTTCTTTTATTAAGGTATCACCCCCACAAAATAAACAGCATTGTTGGTTGTACTTCTCTATTCAGAGGCCAGCAGTTGCTTTTTCGCTAGGTTTGTTATAATATTTTGTGCTGTCTTGAAGATGCCTTTATACACTCTGCTCTCCTTTGAAACTCTGTGATAGGGGCAAGGTGGGCTTTTCAAAAGGGGCAGGGGTGTATGGTACCTAAAGCACCGGCTGTCTTTATAGGAGGGAGAATGATCACTGAGCAGCCCAAGAAGGGGTGGAGTGTATAACAAGCTGCTTCCCTTGGAATTAACTACAGCAGCTGTTTTAAACCAAGTATTTGTGCTTAGGAATGTGCTCCTATCTTAAACATTTCTCCTCTTGCTCTACCTCTTGCTTTCATTTAGTGTTGGTGGTACTTTAATAAAATATGTAGCTGTTATTGACAGTAGCAGAGAGTCTACCATTAGTACCTCTTACATTAGCGCTGAAAGAACCAGTGGGGCTTGGGGTGGGGGGAACCTTCAAATTGAGTGGTGTTGATAAATCATTGACTTATTTTGCTGGCCTATGGATGAAAGGAAGCCATCACGGAGCAGAAAAAGCATGGCTGATAAGAGCCCATTTTTCAGTAATCAAATATTCATTAAAAGATCCCTTCTTTTTTGGAGTTCTCTTGATTGGCTGTTGTTAAAGTCGTTTGCTTTTTTTGGTTTTGCTTTTGTTTTTGTTTTTTTAATCCATGAATTTCGGACACTTAAATTTCCAACCAAATCTTTTCTGCATCAATTCTGTGCAGTCTGAAAATTTGCTTGCCAAGCAGCTTGTTCCCCCACTCGTTGAATAGGTGGAGGGCGCTATGCTCTTTTCCAACATGATGGCCGTCATTTCCGATGATTTATATGAAGTCATTTTTTTTTATTTTTTTTTTTGTCATTTGTTGGGAGTTACTAACCACATTGTAAACCTGCCCCGTTGCTGCATATTTTACATTTCTCTGCTTTACTGAAAATATGAATGAGCTGTCAGTTCTTTGTTTAAAAACAAAACAAAACAGTGGTAACCTTGGAAGTGTTAGATGTTTCAATACCTTCAAAGGATTCAAAGTGCCCATTTTACAATGAAAATTCCACTTACAGCTGAAAGAGCAGAGAAATTTAAATGGAGCTTTAGCTTCAGTGAATCTCTGGAATTAACATGGAGTTTTTTGCTTCTCTGCTCTCTTCCCCACTGTAGGTGGTTTTTTCATTGACACTCCCTATTGCCAGCCTCTCAGCATCGCACCTTTTATTATTCACTTGGGCCCTCAAGATTTCTTCTCTGACTTCTAGAACCATCAGGTTGTGTGGCTCCAAATGACTATTTATAGAGGTCTTAAAAGCAAGAGCAAACGTGACTCGCTTTGAGGGGGTCTCAGCTTCAGATATGGAACTGTGAACTTTTCGTTTTTGAAAAGATTTTTTTTTTTTCCTGAACTCAGATCCTTTTAACGAAAAGCAATACTTACACCAAGGCACAACAAACAGTTCTTTCTTTGGAATCAAAGCAATAGATGTGCATATACTTCTCTTGGTTATTTCTTCAATCCAGAAAGAAGAGACCAAGTTGCGAAACCTGTACTTTGTTTAAAAACAAACAAACAAACAAAAGAATAAAAATGGTGGGGCGCTCAATTTAGTTAGTTAACTCTGCTTTTAGCTTTCACCATTCAAATAATTCAGGATTTTAACTGACCAGTTGTACCCGCATGTTTACTATCAATGTTAACTTAAAAGTTGCTACCAAGGCTTGCAGTGGCCATTCCTGAACCAATAGGTGCTGCATGACTTTGCACATGTCCTAAGGCATGAAATGTAGCAGATAGGTGGGGAAAAAGATGTAATGTTTTTCCTCCAAAGCATAAGTCAATGTCTTGCTACCATGTCTTGCATTTATAATAAAATGGAGAGGTTAGGCCTGAGACCACCTCTGAAATGGAGCGCTTAAGAACCTTACAAAACCTTCACCAAATCGTATGAAAGCCTAGAACTTGCTGAACCTCAGTTCAGAAAAACTTTGCTTTTCTAAGTTTCCTGGGATTTGTCCCTAAACCTTTTGTGTTCATGTCTGAAATTGTGAATTGGTGATCAGCAATAACTTAAGGATCGGAGTCTGTGTGAATGTCTTTTGTATGTTTAAACGCTGTTGGAACATCTGTATGTTGCAGGTTATGACTTTTGAGCAGTTTTCAGCAGGTTAATGTCACTTTATTCTCATTCTCTCCGGACCTTCATAGCCATATGCACTTGTATAAAATAGGCTGAAATGTAATGACTGTAAGCTGAGATCGTGGTATAAAAGGTAAGAGATTTTATTTTTAGCTTAAAGAAAACTTTTATTGCTGTTTTTTAAACTCCCACAATCCGTGTGACAATGGCATACGTTTTTAGTACATATTTATTTTATTTCAGAATTTAAATTCTCAAGGAAAAATCCACAGGTCTGAGTTCAGATCTGTCTTTCTGTTTTTCTTTCTTGCTGCTAAAATGAGTCTCAGATTAAGAAATTGCTGCTATTAAAATATCTGTATAAATGAAAGAAATCTTGGTCTTATTAACATTATTTTGCTTGCTCCAAACATTTAGCCATCTTGATACTTTTGCGTATCAAGCACTGTTTGTTTTTCCTTTCCAGTGGAAAAGTATAAAAAGTGTAGAAATCAAAGGCAAAATGTGGGCGAATAACCCTGGTTTGTAATGAAAGCCGTAACATAGTTGTAGGTGGACAGAATCAAAATGTAAAGATAAATAGCTGATATTGTTTAATTAATAAGAAATTAATCATTTCCCTAAGCTATTAAAACTAATCTCCTAATGAAGAAGGAGAAGCTTTGATATTTCAGATATTAAAGTTAAAATCTACAGAGGCCAAATTTATATTAGTTTAAATTAATTCATATAGCCAATTTTGTTTTGGTGTGGAGGAGAGGAAGGTGATTAACTCAGCATGAATAAATTGCTTAGTAGCAGTTTCACAAAGCTAAGAATTAGGATACAGCCATTAATCAATTATTCTGTATTAAAATATATCTTCAAACATTTAACTTGGATTAAACTGGATTAGGATTCTGGATTAGGATGTGATATGCATTGATTTTTGTCGTGTTTTCATATTTGTTTTTACATAAACTTGCATTGTATATTGCATATTACTGGACTTTATAATTTTCTGTCATTGCATAGTATAAAGTTTCTGTGGACAAGTGTTCATGCAAAAATTGTATTTAGAATATAGCGTTTAAATGCAAAGTTATCATCTCAGTTCCTCTTAGTACCCAGTGCACAAACCCCCCCAGTTTTGTACTGGTGATGCAGCTGAAATGCACCACTGCATAACTTAATGGTAACTCAGGCTCAAAATATGCTGCTTTGCATCAGAAGGTAACAGTGGTATTTACTGTAAATGCTTTTTTTATTTAACCATTTAAATACACTGAAAATGCAGCTTCCCCTGAATGCAATTCAGGATGGACCTGGATGGAATTTATACCCTGCCCCTAAAAAAATAGCTCTCAGTATTGTAACTGCTTTGGTATCGATGGCAGCCTCTCTTGCTTATGAGAGCGCTTCAACCTCATTTGTGGGCACAATCAATGGGCCATCAAAATACCATACAATGCTCAAGGTGTCTTGGTGCAGACTTGCATCCACAGTTACCTCCAGGGCACAAGCTTTGGCTCAGCTCAGCCTTCCTTAACGCCCAAGGGTCTGAGGCTTCCGATTGCTGATTATTGCATTAGGAACAGGCTGCAATAGTGGCTTGCTCTATTACATTTGAAAAGATATCATATTTATCCAAATTCAAAACAACTGTGAATGTAAAATAATCCCAAATAACTCTACACATGGAAAAACTATAACTTTGCTAACTATCTCCTGTGTATAGAATCTAATTATTGGACAATTGCCTTAAGTTCATCCCCCACACCACTGCTGTGGGGAAAGCAGCAGCAGGGAGCAGGCGGCTAGGACCCAAGCAACCTAACTACCACTGCTCCCCCCCCCCCCCCAATCTTGTACTCGAATTTAAGACATGGGATTTTTTCCACATGTTGCAAAACACTTGTCTTGGATTTGAGTAAACATGGGATTTCTAATCCGAGTTAAGCTGCATGGTAGGTAACTGCTCCTGTGCCAGGATCAGGTTGTGACAACCTGCTGAGTGCAAGCGCTGACCAACAGAGTGCTGTGCTCCTCCTCAGGCTCACTTTATGTATAGTTTGCTTTTGTGGCCTTTATTTTGGCACCTTAATCTACTGCTCTTACATCTGTATAGTTTTATCCTGAATTGTTCTTATTCTCTGGTTTGCCTTTGCCACTTTTCCTTCTGTTCTACTAATAATACTCCTTTGGCACATTCACTACGTCTGTCAAGGAAGCTGTGAAGTCATCCTCTTCTCTTCTTTATTCAGCACATGCCTACTTTTCCTTGGGCCTTTTTTGCTCACTATGGAAATGCTTGTCCTGTTTGCTTTGTGGCGACTCCTCTTAGCAGGAGCTCCTCTGCTGATGTAGGCTTGGCTCTTGGCATTAAGTTGATTTAAAGAAGATTTTGGCTC